CCTGGGAGTCCTGGGCCTGAACTGCGGACTGAGCGATCAACGGCTGCGCCTGTGTGCACGGCGCCTGGGCCTGAACGATCATCCTCGGCTGTGAGCACCGCAGCTGGACGGGATGGAACGCTGGCATGTTTGCGAGGGCCAAAAACCCATACCAATCCCGTGGATTCTTAGAGATAGTAGACACCTGGTGTTCACGTCAGTCTTGTAGAGTCAGTCGACATGCCACGTCCATCCCCGGAGTGATGCCACATCCATCATCTAACCACTCAGCAGAGTTGGTGAGATGTCACCTCCCAACCAAGAGCGGCCATATCATCTAACCACTCAGCGGTTTTTCATGATCCAAGTGGGCCAATCATTCACACTGAGACAACTATTTCAGTGGCCGGCCTCCGCCCGCCCGAACTTCATAGAGGCAAGGCCGCCTATGTGATTGAAGCTGCTGTTCAAACCAAGTTGTCCACTTATTGGAGTTGGTTCTTAGGAGGGTACTAGCGTCGGGTAGTCAGTCACCCATTGTAAACGCAGCATCCAGACGACTTTCCACAAATCCAGACGACTTAACACAGGTACTTGTACCCCCCAAAAAGCCTCCGCGGGTGCAGTCACTCCCGCCGTTTTCCCCATCGCCGCCGTCAGTGACGCCTTTGAGGATCTCCACGGCGGGCAAGTCGCCCGAGCAAGTGTAGCCTTTGGGAAACAAGTGGTTCGCCACCTGCCAGGAAGGATCCAAGACAGTTGGAGCTCCTTGAAATATCGGTTGGACCTGCCACAAACATACACACCTGCCACAATATCGGTTGGATGCCAGTTATAACGATCATCAAATACAGTTCATTTGCCTTTGCCTTTGCGAGTTCGCGGAAGTTGTCTCATCCGTGCCCGCTATACACATCATTCTAAATTCAGGGCATGCGCAGTCTCCGGGTGGAAATCAACAGTTCATACGAGGTTCATATACGAAGATCTCGACGACAAAGCAGAGGTTTTACACCTACGCATTCGGCTTCGACGTCTTTCATTGTTTTTGCTCAGAAACAGAGGTCGTGATGCCGCCGTGATGCCGCCGTTCGCAGGGAAGAGACCATGTACCATGTACAATGTCGTGCCGAGCCAAGACCGCGATCGTGCGGAGTCGGATCGAGTAACGATTTGTATACATGCAATGCGAAGACAGAATTCCTCTCCAAAGAGATGCTTGGGCTGCTTGGGCTGTGAAGTCCAGCCGTGGTTTAGGAGTGAAATCCAATTTCCCAGAATTTTCCCAGATACATTTGGGGCCTCGTCGTAGCATCCAAGGGCCAAAACTACCCACCCTCACAACATCCAAGGACCCTTGACGAAAAGTACTATATGGGGGCAGGAATAATGACAGCCAGTCATTCTTAGATCGGTTGAACGTTTTACGAATCCCTCCTATTATACAACTGATCATTGTAGGCTCTAGCTTGTCACCAACACCATCTTACTGAAAGGAATTCATGCGTACCAAAGAAACCGTTTGTCAGGTACCGGGAACCAACATGTTCCCCTAACATCCGCACTTTCAGCAGGTCAAGCGTGTTACGAGTAGGGTGGACACCCCGAACAGTTCGAGGGTGGACTCTGACCCGGGGTCGGGTATCGCCCCGGTCAGGTGTTCGGGTGCGTTGACCGTCACACGCATGGCATGAAGCAAACACACCCTGGAACTAACATGGTTACGTGGAGAATGGCCCCGAAAGGAAGACCATGAAATCCTACAAACAGGTGGTTTTCCACGTAAACATGTTAGTTCCAGGGAGTGTACATTCTCTGCAGAAACACATCTCTATCCTGGAAGGCATTCTGTCCATCAGATTCTGTTGACCTCCTCTGGTTTGCCTCCTTGATCACCATTCATCTGCTTCATCATGCTCCATCTCCACTTAGGGGTCCCTGGTCACTCATCAGTAGGCAACATAGGCCTCATCAGAAGTAGACGAGGTCGTTTGACATGAAAAACGACTGAGAGATGAGATTCCTAGGTCCCTAGGACCCTAGGTCAAAGAGATTCCTGTAGCGCTTCTTCAACATGAAGAGGACAACTGGGCGCCAAGTCTCACGCAAATTCGTCCGTTCAAAATCAAACACATACTCACTAGAAGAAACAACCTTCCCAGCATGGCGTCTTCCACTGGCCATCGTCTGTGCTGCTTGATGAGTGCTGAACAGTTAACCACCAACGCGCCATGCATGTAGGTCCAACCCCACAATGCCTGATCTCCAGGAAGACTGAAAAGGAATCGACCACTTCTGCGGACCTCAGTGTTGCTTGTCGCCTCATAATGTCCAGTAGAACGCCTTCAGCCTGTGCTGTGCGTCAAAACGGTCTCAAAACCAGGTCCTTGTCTTGATGAAAGAGAAGGCTTTTCATTGTTGCTTCACTGTCACCAATCACATGCAACTTAACTTCCCATAATGCCATAGTGATTCATGGCCAAGGAAATCTTTGTCACCTGCTCCGCCTGTTCACGTATGTCTGACTCTTTGCTCTCAACAGAAGTTGCCAGTAACATCCGGGTCTCGCAATCTACTCCAACAAGCACTGTAGTCAAAGCAGCTTGGCTTCAAGCTAGCTTTGCTTTCAGACCATTCAAATCCATAATGAGTCAAGCCATTCATGGCAAACACATTCACATTCGGAGTCCTTCTTCACTCCGGTTCACCTCCTCTACAAATCTGCTTCGCCCCCTTTGGGGGGCCGGAGTCCAGTTTTCTGAGCCATTCCCGGACTCATCACCTCTTCGTGGCCCGGCGGATTGGTGACCCCATGGGATGAAACCCCTTGTCCCGGACACGCACCTCACGCGTAGCCTGACTAGGACTCACCTCATCTCACCTCCCGAAACAGACGGTGGAGCGGACAAGCCGTTCCAAGTGCCGGCCTTGCACACAGCCTCACGGTCTCCTAAATGTCCCGCTTGTCGGGCTGCTTTCTCACAAAGCGCCTCCAAGACCTTGATGAGCCAAGGCTTCCCATGTCAGTTTGGTCAGTGGATGATACGATGGCTTAGAATAGACGGGGCGATAGTCCAACATGTTGATCAAGTTCTGCTAAGATTTTGAAATAATTCTGTGGAGAGAAGGCCCCAACATGCCACAACTATGCATCCTCATCTATGTCTACAAGTCTCGGTTCGATTCTCACACCACCCAGCAACGACACGAAGGAGCCTTCCTTTGGGTATTCCCATGACTGAGGGATACTCGTGGATGCTCAGGGTTTGCAGTAAGGAACCGCGGCATTCCTGGGAAGGTCTGTGATTCTGGAGGGGCTAACCCAGTGACCTAGGCCCTGGACCTCACACGGTGACTCCCAGTTCCCAATATGGCGGTGAGTGAACACCTGACCTTTCGGTTGACCTGCCTAGCGTCGGTCAAACTCGCTACATGGTGGACTGGTCGGGCAAACATGGTGGGTCACGACCCATCTCCATACTACCCAAACACTCCATGGGACTGCCACATATGCCGTACATTGACCGCCAAAACCACCACCCCTGGCCAGATCGGCAGGCAGTCTCACCGGTCGTGTCTGGGTTATTGCAAGAAGGAAACCGGCGTTCCGTTTGGTCCACGGTGTTCGTCAACCGCTCACCAGCGTTCACTGGACTAGCTCGATTCAGCTGGGTGACGCTGTCCTCCAAGAAGAAGGGTGTTTGTGAGGTGACCAATCCTTCATAATCCTTCCCAGCATCTCCCGAATGTCATGATACCATCCCCCCATACAGTAGAATTCCAGTTGAGTGTCGTTATTAGGAGCATACAACTGAGCATACATAATCAAACACCAGAATGACCCTGGCATCTCCTAGCCATGCAAACTAAACCCTTCGCAAGACCATGTTCTTCTCTCTCCAAAAGAGGAGGTCCACGTCTATCTTCATGACCAGAAGGGTGTGCCTTGCTGGACGACGAGGTGAGAGGATAACCCAACTGACTCTTTGTCCACAGCCAAACCCCCGTATCACAGCCCAAACCCCAGCTCTCACCCATGGGTCAGCACTGACATGTCCAGGTTTTGCTTGCACCATGACAGCATAAGAACACACGCTGTTATTTAACAATAGAAACAACAACAACAACAACAACAACAACAACAACAACAACAACAACAACATGATGTGTCTACAATTTCTGTGGAATCTATGATGATTGTTCATAAGGGTGGTTTTCCTTTCTTGCTGGCTGATGCAAAGAACAAGGAGATCGTGCTTCACCAATGATTAACAAATATGTTTTCTCGTGGTGTTACAAAGGAGATTCACATTCTCATCTTTGGAGTCACTCTCGAACCCTCAGTTTGTATGAACGAATTTCTTATCCCCCAAGGACGCATGAAGTAAAACCGATTGCTTGGAGGCTTGGACCGCTGCATGGTCTGACTGAGTCTGTGATACGCCTCTGGGTCACCCGATGGCACCAGTAGACCGACCGACCCGGAACAGCGGCCGGTGGACAGGTTTGGCCATGGGTCATGGCACCAGGGGAGCCCACACTGGGTCGCTGGTACCATCTCTAGAGACCTCACACCATGGGAAGAACCCACCGTCGCTCTTCCGGTGCCACTTCTACCGAGCTCTGGCCATGCTTTTCAGCTGAGCTCTGCAGGTCGACGAGCGACCCGAGCTCTGCGCAGCGCGCGGCGCGGCTCTCCGTCCGACCCGTCTGGTTCCACTGGCCACGGCACGGTGTGGTCTAACCCGGCCACCGAGATCATCGCCTCGGGCGGGTGACGGGCCCCGTGGCCCCAGTGGTGGACCGGTGAAGGCAAGAAGCAACAAACAGCTGAGCAGGACTGGAGTCATTGATGAAAGAATCGCCATACCAAGCATTTCAATCCAAATACAGGCAAAACCAGAGATCAAACCATTCATTTACTTGGACCTCAGAATTGCAGGTTCTATGAGAAACCCATCCTTCTTGCAGCGTTCCTATTGTTTGGGACGAACATGGACGGTTGCGGTTGCATTTATACGTGGCTTCAAGGTGCAGCAACTTGAGCGCAGTCCGAAACGTGAAAATCACGGGTGAACGCACAAATTGACGTGGAGTTCACCAGTGTCACGGTCACCTTGGACACATCCACATACCGTCACCCCTCTTCTGCACCACACCCAGGGGTGCGTTCGACTCCTCCCGTGGATCGAGTTACCAAGCTCCCTGCATGGTTGGCAAAAGCCGCCGTACCCGAAAAGAAACACCGACTCTCGAGAACGTCGCATCACGTCGCATCCGTTCGCCGCCTGAGCAGAACGCTGTGATTCCTGCCGGAGCACGATGCACCGAAACGCCGAAACAACGGGTGGGGCGACGAGGATGAGAAGCAGCGAATCCCGTGTGTTGTGAGTACGAGACGTCGCAGTTGAATGTTGAATGCAACAAAATATATACAGTGCAGAGATTGTTGACCATGTGATTTTGGCCTCTATCCTGTCCTGATGCATGCCCTTAGGGACTGGGAAGTGCAGTTCGTGCCGTGCCGTGACGTGATTGGAAGGCTTGCAACATGCCCATCACCACTTAGTCAACTCCATCACCACCCCGACAGCAGCGCATGGCATGCATCGCCGAGGTCCCGGTCCTCGTGCATGGCATCGGCTCGGACGCGGACCACCTTGAGGCACTCCTCGAAGCTCAACATCCCAGAGAAACAAATCGCATTGTACCTCCAGTGAAGCTCTGCTGCGGTGTCAAGTGGAGCTATGCTGTGATGAGAGGGATCTAGCACTGGCTTTCCCCTCTCTGGTTTGCAGCCCCACTGACCATAGCCCATCTTGGATTGGCTTAAGGAACCAGGAAAAGAGACAGCATATGTCCCAGATTCGAGTAATAAAGGTAATCTTTCTGTGCAGTCAAGCCTTCAGATGGTGCTGGTCCTTAAAGCCCATCTTGGTCACTTAACTCAAACTCAGGATCATGGCCCCCACTGAACACCAACTCATCATGTAAAGCTCCCACCGAACACCGCGACACTCGACACAAAGACCGATCCGGCACCCGACGCCGACGCGCACTCGCCCAAGGAGAGCCCTGCGGTGGCGGAGCATCGCTCCACCACCTCGGGTTTGTCCATGCGAAGCTTCTCCAACTGAGCGCCAGGTGTGCGGAGCCGCGGGCGGCGTTGGGGGGGCGCCAGGACGCGGTGATGCAGTGAGGATGAGGGGAGATAAAGTCAGTCCAGTCAGTCGAGAGTGGAGATGACCGGGAGGGTGTCTTTGGAGACATGGGGCTGGGTGAGAGTATTAAACAGGATAGTGGGGTGAGGAAGCCGTGGAGTATGGCAACTGAATTGGAAGAAGACGGTATGATGAAACTTCTTCTTTGTAAGATGTGCAACAACTATAACACCCAAGACTCCTAAAAAGACCTCGATTCATAATCATGCCCTACAAGTCCCAAGACCCAGCAAAACTTAGTCTTTACCTCCGTAAGAGTAGTGCTTTCTTGTATGACTTGTTGGGATGGTTGTTCATGACCTTAAAGCCCGGTGCTTTCCTGGCCAACTCCGCGGTCAAACTTGTCAGACAGGGGGGCCACGGTGCTTTCCACAGTTTGCTTCAAACAGGAAGACTCCGTCGTCAATGAAGGCCAAATCCCTGGGAGATCCTGCACCGCATTGTGCAAACACATAGGGCACAGTCAGAACATAAATAAGTTGAATGTCCAAAGTCCTGCGCAGCAGGATTTCGTACATCAAGGGTGAAGTGTTTTTTCGGGTCCAAACCCCTGCGAAAAGCAGGATCAACAATTGCTCCGGCTCCAATGAACATTCGAGAGAATCACCTTTCTTCGCCAGCCAACGTTGCTTTTCCTTCCGCGAAACAAACACAAAAAAACAGCAAATCTGGCTGGTCGGTCCGCTATAGACTATAAACGCACTCGCCGCCCCACAGGCTCAGTGCCAAGGCACGGCGCAGGCGTTCGCCAGAAACATGGCCGGCTGGCAGAACTTTGTCTCCTCAGACGAGTTGAAGTTCAGTGCGAAGGAGACGAAGTTTCGAAGTGTGTCACCTGTCTTGATCAATCTCGGACATGTGGGTGTGGCGAAAAACATAGAAAGGCCATTGCTCTTAGGTTGGAGGGCGTCGCTCTTAGGTTGGAGGTCATCACTCGCATCACTATTATTAGGTTGAAGGCCATTGCTAGACTGAGCCTCTTCTCGAGCAAAGGCTCCGTTCACAGCCCGACTGGTCCTCAAAACTTATAGGGATGGGTTCGACCCCAAACACCTCCAGAGAGGATTCGGGGCCGAACTGGTCGCGTCTGGGCAGGTCTCTTCGCAGTGTAAAGAACCATCCTGCCGCTACCTATCGCTCGTCCTCCAGCTTCTCCTCTGGGCCGTTCAAGCAAAGATCCAAGATGTCATACCTGCGGCAGGCGGGCAAATCGCCTGGTGGGCCCGATGTTGGCTCAAATCCAAATCCATCACAGAAAACTCCCTGGAGAGCAAAGGCCCTGGTCCAAATACTGCGTTCAAGTTTTGAGTTGTGCCTGTCCTGTCCCAAATGCATGTACAGAATGTCAAACAGAAATCATCGAATCCTTATGTTGACAGCTTGGTGACAAAGTACAAAGTCCCAGCTACGCCCACCCATCCACAGAGCATCCCAGACAATTCGGGAGGGATTCGGGCTACGTGCCTCTATGTGCCTCTCAATCCTCCTTTTCTGATGACTAGAAAGTCCAACAAATCATTTACTTCTCTTGGAGCCAGCACGACCTGAAGCAAAAACCACAGAACAAACGTCTTACCATCGTCCTCCCAACCCAAAAACCAGGCCTCGCTTTGAACCCCCCAAACCAACGTGAGTTGCTGGGCCTTCTCCTTGAATCGATTCGGTCCCGTCTGGTCCATTTTTCAGACATCAGAAGTGTCTGTGTTCCACTCCCCCAACCCTCTTCTGTCTGAACTCACGTTGCGGCCAGGGATTCCAGGCCCGAGGATGGCATTCGCTTTATCGATCAACTTCTTACAGGGCTCCAAATCCTTCACCTGCCACCCGACGGCGAACCGCGATGGAACCGACGCCGCGCGACTTCACGCGGCGACCGTGCGACCGTGCGACTGGCTCGCTCCGCAGCGCAGGACAGAGGTGGTGGAAGAGGGCTGTCTATACCGAGGACCTGATGGACCCCTGTTTTGGAGCCAAAGCATGGTCTTTTCCTATCAAAACAGAGGTCAAATGGGGTCTAGGTAGAATGAAACTGATGAAACCATCAATCCACCAGCCCCGTTCGTAGCGTCCGATCGTTCCGTTCGCAGCGATGCCAGGAGCCCTAAACATAGCGTCCGATGGCTCCTAGTAGGCTGCGGCCAGGAGGCCCTAGTATGCCCTAGTAGCTTCATCATACACAAATCATTTTAAGAGAGGGGGTCTTTTCTCATCATACGATTTCTAATCAAGCTTCATCACCATGGCAGTCATAACTATAGGGATGAAATGTGATGAAATCAAATATATATAATAAATTTATGATTGCTGGTCTTCGGGGCGACACTCAGCTGCCAATTCACGAGTTGCACTGAGATTCTTTGGCTATGGCGAAGTCGAACACCTTTCAATTTCCCTGCTAATTGGTTCGGGTCAAACGCAGCTATATATGGGGCCATCACTGGGGCCATCGGGATGCTCACCAAGACCTACACTCCTCGGAGCCTCGAAACCATCATCCAAAGTAGAGAGCACGACCTGTTTGGTCTTCCGAAAACGGTCATCTGAAGACGCGGCCCCGCCATCCACCTACGGCGGCGTCGAGAAATGTCTCTGTCTCTCTCTCTCTCTCTCCCGTTCTCTGTCACCTTTGACCAACCAGTAATTACTACAGGAGGAAACAACAAGTCGGTTTTCACCACCCTGCCGTAGGGCCCTGTGGTTCCATCGATGTGTTCCCAGCGCGGATGGCGCAGTGCAAAGGACGCTCCCTTTTTCTTTCCGAGGACAACGGTTTGCGAGGGGGATGCTCCGCTGGAGCTTAAAAAAGTGTGGGTGTCACGTGGATCAAACTTCACCAAAGCCGTTTTGTCGCTCTCATTTCGAAGCAAAGGCGGCTGAAACAGTGAGAGTAGCTGGGTCAGCCACTTTCTTCACACATTCGCAAGATGAATGTGCTTGGTTTTTTGTGACGCTCACTAGATGGTGGATGCCTTCCGACTCGTTTGTTCTGAGAAGTGATCGTTTTTGCCGAGAACGTGAGGCCCATGTGCCAAGAGATCTGAAGCCTCCAGGGTCGGTTCGATACTACCTGGGACTCCCGGCCAATCATTGGCTTGAATGGGTTGAATCCCAAAGAACCAGCTCTTTTACTAAGGAGGTGTACACTACACAATCAGGTCGTTGCCATTCTTTAAGGGAGGGGCTTGTTGCGAGTTGCATAAAATTGGTGTTTATAAGATTTATCATGGGTTACTGTAATCCACGAGTTAAAAGTCAATGAGAAGTGCAGTGTCCAAGGATCACCAAACATTTCTTCCTGGAAGAATGCAGGATTTGTCAATGATGAAGGCGTCATTTAGAACACTATGACTTTTGACACCATTGCTTTTCAATGTTTGATAGTCTTTAATTATAGATTATAATACTATATCATATGATATATATATATACATCTTCAAGCTATGCCATGGTAAGACTAATTCCTTTTGTATATATCTAAAACCATTGGTCAAGTTCTTTTTGTCAAATACTGTTAGAATATCGTATTTGATATGTGCAATCCTAAATCTTAAATGTCCGTTATCGTAAACTCTTTCAACATCACATTGTCCTGCATCACCCTCATAAGCATTCCACCTGATTATTTTATTGCACACCTTTTCTTCTTCGAATTCCTCTATGTATTCATCAGCCATTTCCAGTACTTCCTCAGTATCATAAAACCCACTCTATCCCGCTTCCCGTCAGATTTTGATAACACACTGCCTCACTCAAGCTTTCAAGCTCTTTGCTCTTCCGGCTCTTCTTAGTTCCCTTTTCAATATCCCTATATTAACATTATATAACAATCATCTTGTTTGCCTGTGTATCTTCATGCTGTTTATCTGAAATGTTGGTGTTTTCAGTTCATTTCAGTTCTTGTATGCCCCCTTTGTAATCAACATCATACACAAGAGGGCGGTTGTTCATAATGCAGAATGTTAACTTTATCAGCGACTGCGAATTCTTTTAAACACATACTGTACATCAATAGACAGTGTTACTTAAAACATAAAATAGACAATGTAATTAAAAAAAGACAATAGTCAATGCAGTTTGATCAACTACAGTGCCCTTATTCTTTGAACAACTTATTCCTATCCTGAACGCATGCTCCAAATGTCTTGAACTCTTTAGCAGGTTTACTAATTCGTTCCAGAACTTTACTCTTGTAATCTTCATTCTGGGCTCATTGCCATAAAAAGTCAATATATTTCAAAAACATTGCTTCTTCAAGGGTGGCATAGTCTGTGTCAAGTTCGGTTGGAATATACCTGTGATAAACATCCATATCTTGAGCATTCCTTGAGATTCTTTCCTCTGGTTTATTGGTTTGTGATAATATATATATAATGACGTCATCAACATACTTATCCATATCGAAGTTGATCAAACTAGTCATGACTGTCATCATCTTGCATCAATACTGAGATGACCTTGTTGAAAGTCCTGTTGCAATCAACTCTGTCAATCCTCTTCGTGACCTGTTCTTCAATGTATTTGGCTGTCTTGCCGTGTGCATGCAGTTTGCTTTCTGTTGTCTGACATGGCACAATTGGACTTTGGGTCGGGTCTTCTGGTACTGGCCGGCTATAGTCAGGTACGTCAAAAGCATTGCCATCAGATGTGTTGCAGATTTGGTTGGTTTGGGGTTTGTTGTAAGTGCGCAAAATCCATCAACCATAATTAGATATCACAATATCATTCAACGGACGTATGATTCTGTGCAACTCACAACAAGCCTTGTTTTGTTCCGAACTGAAGGCAGAACTGAAGGCGACCCGGGCCGTGAAGTTGTGGAAATTAAGCTTTGACACCAAAGTTGGACCATTCTTTTTATAGTTGACTGAACTCCCAGTGTGTTTGGGGTTTCCCGTGGGCAATGGACCTCACCTGGTTTTGAGCAGTGGGTTGAACGCATCCTGAAGTCTGACCCACTTCAATGCCGTAGGCAGAACGAAGTAGAAGCATCTCCACTTTCTCGTGAATCCGGAAACAGAGCTCAGAACTAGCTAAGTTTCATCACACAACTAGCATCAACTAGCTAAGTAGAAGCATCAGCACAGAAAAAGGATCAACGAGCTACCAATGATCTATGCCGATGTTGTGCTTCAACTCCTTGGTCTGTGGCCATTTTTGATGCAATTTGATCAAGACTGAATCTGGGAGTCGCCCAAACAAATCGGCAGCAATTGGACAACGAGAAGACACACCTCGGACGAAAAAGACCAAAGCCCTGAGCGAAGATGCCTCGTGTACCAAGTCTGCCGAGCAGTGTACGAGCTCTAAAAGTCTTCTGCCTCTCACCAACAGTCGCTGATCATGTTCTCTTCAACAAAACTGCTGGATTCTACTTTGATTTGGGTGAGAGCAAACGCATGCTTGAGTCAATAACCTTCAAGGCATTCAAGCGAAATTCAAGTTTCTTCTTCCAACCCCAGGTCATGGACATCTCCCATGACGATGCTTTAACTTTTTTGAGGACCAGCAGCAAATGAATGAGGGGATTCTGATGGAAAGAAGAAACCTGTAGGCAAGTGGAACCAGTATTTCAATGACGATGCCACTTGCTTTGGGCACAACTTTGCCCTGACAACCACAGGGTGTCCAGCGGTCATCAGCTTATAGACGTTCCTGTTCGCACGCCGGAAAAATCTGTACCTACACAAAAATGCTGCACCAAAATGCAGGCTTGGAGAAACTTAGATCTTGTGGGTCAAATGGGTCGATGAACATCGGACATCGTCCAAGAGATGTGTGCTACTATGTGCCAACCATCATCTGCCAACCCTCAAATTGGAATGACTTCTGACCATTTTTGACCCATCTCTACATGTTCAAACATTCCATTCAGCATCCCTAAAGCTGAATCCGGCTACGGCTGTGGAGGCGCCACCATGGGACTCAAGGACAGGATTGTCTCAAAAACCGGGACGTCCAGAAGTCCGAAAGAACATCCAACAGGTCATGGAGACGTCATAGAGAGACTGAAGGTCATGATACACGTGTCACTCAATGTAACTTTATTCAAAAACATATTTGTCTATATAGAGACTTAGTCGGTGATGATACCATTTATATTCAGACTTATGGGTATATATATAGTCATGTATAGATATAGGGACTGAAGTCATGCACATAATGTCTATATATACCCCGTTTGCGGTGTTGTTTGCACCCTGTAAACAGGGTGCTTAGTAGACACCCCGCTAGCCTCGCTGTACGGGTCTTCTGGTATAAGAAATGTTGTTTAAATTGTTGGGAAGTAGAAATTAGAAATTAAACTACAATACAGACTTGAAATAACATCTTGCCCCCACTCTTGCCCCCCTCGGCGGACATGTTGACCCTGGTGACACAGACTTGTCGCTCGATTGAAACCTCGACCGCATCGCTTCACACAGCCGCCGGATCAGCATTTCCTGGTTCATGTACCAGAAAAAGCATGGTTTTCATCCAGATCGCAGTGTTCCTCACGGTGTCCATCGGATGGTACAACTCCGAAACCGCAGAAGGGGATGGTTCATCTTGGCAGAAATCCAACGTTCGTCCCAACCGACCGGAGCAGTGGGGATGATCCCACCGACTGAGTAGTGGCCTCTTGCGGAACACAGGCGAACTGGTCGATCTGCTTTCTCGTGGTTTGACGACTTAGGAACTGCGGCTTTTGGAACAACGAAGGTGGGCTGTGGAGCCAAGATCACGGAGGAACAACAACACAGTTAACGGCACAAAAAAAGGGTTGGTGGTTCAAGCATTCCACATACTCATCTATTCTCCATATATGCAATCAATCCCA